TCTATTGATAATGTGAACACATTCTTATTCTACAGGATTTTTCATCGTAATCCACATCGCAGATTGTACGCCCAAGGAAGATCTTGTCCTCAAGTATGAAGGGTGCAAGGAGGTAAGTGTTATTTTTGCACTCTTTTTTATAAGATAGCGAAGAAGGTGCTCTTTAGCAAACACAATCAACACTGTGAAGTGTATCTGAACCTACTATCTACCACGATTATTCTCATTTTCTGACTCGCATCATAGATCATGTGGCAATTTAATTTGGAAAATTTCGTTAAATATCTAAGTGCATTAGTGAAGTAAATTTTATGGAACTGTTTAAAACAGAAATCAGCTGATTTTAAATACTACGTCATTTGAGTTACCTGGTTGTAAACTAAGAACTACCTAGCCCGTCTAGGTGTACTGTGATCAGAAACCACAACCACTGAGCGGCAGTCTCACCTTGGATTCCGCATGCCTTTTCATTTCTTCTTCCAAAACAGTTTCCTTCTTTCTCCTCTTGACTTCCTTACCTCCCATGCTAGGTTCTCCCTTGTTTACGGCTAGCCTGTTCTCGAGTGCTGAAAGCCAAAGTGATCTATTTGACTCCATATTGCCATGCTGCATTTATTCATTGAGAAAATAACGGAAACTTTGTTGACGGACTGTGCGAAAATAATGGCCTGTAGAAACTTTGAACAAGATGACTCTCAATCAGCATCAATAGGTACGGTGAATACAACAACAAAAATCGGGAATTGGTATGAGTACACATCCCAGCAAGCAGTTTGCAAGGTCGTTTGCACTGTTGTTTACTGAAGAAGAAATTCGTATGTACGTGAATACATCTCTGGCCGAAGTCACCAGTCAAGAATGTCAGTGTCTCTGTTTTTCCTTAATTTTCAAGTTTACATCTCTGTTATTACTTTTTTCATATCATTGAAAAAAACATCTACCTTCAATTATTGGGAATTTGGTGAAGAAGCTGTCCATCTAATTTATTTGTTCTTCTGTCATTTGCAGAAAACAGCCTTTAGGCTCGGATGAGGAAGATAATTTATCAATTGATTATCAGCTACCAGATTCTGACCAAGAGTTGGATGAAGATGATAAAGCAATCTTAAAGAAAACAAGACAGCAGTTGCATGGAGCAAATGATACTGATTCTGACAGCGAGGTATGTCAAATTGTTTCAGCTTTTTTGTTCAGATTAAAGTTCAAAAATTCAGTTTTGTTACCTATCTGACTTTTTTTCTCAATCTTTGCGTGACGTGAGCAGTTTTGTCGATACTTTCGAAAACTGGGTAACAAATTTATTTCCAAGTTGAATTTAAGCAATACTCCATGCCACATTTTTGCAAATTTTTAAACATGGATTGTAGACCCAAACGCATCACGTTTACAAGAACTCTTTTTTTCTTCCTTTTCTCCCCAAACCAGGGACCAGAAAGTTCTTTGCTTTTGCATAAAGTGCCCATTTCATAACAGAGTTGCGGGTCAAAGAGTGTGCTCAATAGTGTTCTTCACAAGAAAAAGGCAGGGCACTGAAGGACTTAATGCGCTTAAAGTAATTGGCTTGACAGTTTTCCCCACATAAACTGATGCGCTTGATAAACCTGTGCTCAAGAACATCTTCAATTTCCTCACCAAAACTATGTGCGCTTAACTATGTCCGTCACTAAGAGCAGTGTACAAATTTTCCTCCTAATGAAATTTTTTTATCTTGAACGTTACTGTGTAGTATGTTTTACCAAAAATTAATCGAATTTTTAATCAATAACAATTAAATTCAAATCACTGTTGCATTTTTTAAGGTAAAAAAATGCTAGAAGTAAGTATCCAATTAAATTGGAGGTCGCTTTATAAGATTTCGGGTCTAATTTCTATTTCAAGCTATTACTCGTGTAGTGGGGCAGCACTCAATAATTGTATCATTGTCTAGCGATGGAGACGATTGCTAAGGTTTATGATTTCCTAAAAGCCCAGCTCTAAAATTTCCTGTGGTCTCTCTATTTACAAAGTAACGGACCTATTGTTGTTTGTGGTAATGATAATCATCAAAGTTCATGGTTCCTAATGGTTTCTGAAATAGGAGAGAATGGTCTTTTAAAAACTAAAATCATACCGATAGCTGGAAACCATGTATCATGGTGTATTCTTGAACTAAGCGACCACACTATAAGATCACTGAAATCAATTCTACCCTAGGTAAATTTCTAAAATGTTAAAAAGCCAAAATTTTACTTGATCATATTCACAAGCAGTTACACTTCTACATTGGAATAACATTAAATGTCCATAGCACCAACTCTATCATAATTTCTTTTGCAGGAAGAAGTTCTGCCTTTACAGTCATCTTCAGAAGACAGTGATGATTCCGATGATGAAGAAAATTCTGAAGATGAGGACAAAGATGTCCTTGGGGATGATGAAGGGGACTTGCCTGACCCAAAAGCATGGGGACGGAAACGGAAAAATTACTATGACACCGATTACGTAGATCAAGATTTTGGCGGTGAGTGTACCATCTCAGTTAAAAAAATTACCAATAATCCTATCAACTCCAACCAATTACATAAGTACTAACGATGACCAGCTGACACCTCCAAGAAAACATCTATGGAGCTCAACTAACCAGGACCGTAAAACCAGAAAGTCAGGTTGAGAATAGGTGGATATGAAAATATTATACAGCGTCACTTCTACATTATTGAAAAGATAGGCACAGATAACCACAAACCTCAAAATGAAATTATTCATGGATACAAATAAGTACATATTTGAATTTTTTGCAGGGTTCCAGAATGAGAAAGATGAGGAAGCGGCATTGATGGAGGAGGAAGAGGCTCGAGCAATTCAGCGAAGGCTTGCTGAACAATTAGATGACCTTGACCCTGTCCTCACTTTTGCCACCTTGGTAAGTGTTTAAATTTACAGAAACCTTTACTGAATGCAAGTAAGTGTGCAGGAGGACCGTGTACGTCAAATAAAGTGATTTGGCTTTATCTAAATCTCATTATTTGTTCTTATGAGTTCTTTCTTGTTTCCACTGCATACACATGCACATGAACTCAGAACAATGGTACAGAAAGACCATAAAGGTACATACAGGACTAGTACAAAGCATAAAAAGGAGCATGGAAAAAAGGTAGAAATTGCACCAGCAAAATGAAGCAAAATATTAAGGCTCTAAGCATGGTCTTATTTTCAGAAGAAAAATCGGGAAGAAGCGTGAATGTGCAGTAAGTGGTGCAGGAGTGTAGTTGCTCATCCAAAGGTGTTTCAATTAGTCTTCCATTCTGAAGATAGTCAAAGAAGGGGAGAAAAAAGGCAGGGCCAGAACAATCAAAGATGAGAGAAGAGGAGAAATTGGTGGGGGATCAACCAAGATAGGTTGACCTTTACGCATTCCTACCAAAAACTTATGCAAAAAAATAATGAGTACATAAAACTATTTTCTCTACATACATTCATTATGAAAAAAGAGGGTTGTGCTGTAGAAATGTTTTTGTGCATGTACAAGATATTGGCTAAAGTGAAGTCTAATGTTTCATTTTTTAAAAAAAGCAGCAAAGGCCTATTTGAGAAATAAAAATTTACATTATGGATCCAACTGATTGAGAAGAGTAAGTCATGGTTACTGGCTTTATGGTACTACATGAGCACCCTATAAAGCAGTGATCTGTCTTTTCCCTAAAATTTTAGGAGCCCCTTTGGCCAGAAAGCCCTGGTTTATGGAGCCAAATTTTCTTTTTGCATAATGCATCATGGTATGGTACATGAAATTGCAAATTTAAAAAAATTGACGGGGTAAATAAACTTTTAGGCGCCAAAATGGCCTAGCTCCCCCGATTTTTCAGGGCCCCCAAGGATTTCACTATCCCTCTTCTGT